TGCTCACTGATCTACATGGATCCTGTGGTGTCTGGAGAGGGAAGATGAATGGTTAAAGCCTTTTCCACACTGGGAGCACCTGTAAGGTTTTTCAACTGACAGGATGCGCTGTTGGAATAGTGCTGTACTGCTGCGGTTGTGGCTGCTGCTGTTGCTGTTTGTTCTCCAAGTGAACTCTCTGATGTCTAGCTAGGGAGGAAGAGTGACTGAATCTTTTGCAACAGTGGGCACAGGTATAACTCTTTCCCTCCGAGGGTTCCCTCTTGTGCTCTCTCAGAGTGGCAGCAGCCGCAAAACACTTTCCACATTGTGCGCACCTGTGGGATTTGTCTCCGAGCACGACTGCAGCGTGCGTCTTCTGATGCTGCTTCAGATTCGAAGTTGTAGCGAAGCCCTTGCCAAGTCCTCGTTCCATCAGCCGTAGCTTGGGCTTAAAAATGCCCCAGCTACGTTCCAACAGCTGATGGAACGAGAACTTGGAGAGCTACGAGGCGCAACTTGTTTTGTGTATCTAGATTATCTACTCAGATTCAGTTGAGCAGCACCGATATGATATCCAAGCAGTTTTGGATAAGCTCAGAGAGGCTAACCTAACTGTAAATGAGGAAAAGCCAGTATTTTCGTACCTTCTTGAAGTTTCTGGGTCATGTTGTGTCATCTACCGGAGTAAAGGTCAACACAGAAAAGACAAAGGCAGTACTGGACTTCCCTGTACCTCAGAACATAAAAGATCTTCAAAGGTTTCTCGGAATGGCTGGATGGTACCACCGGTTCGTGCCCCAATTTTCACAGCTCACTGAACCACTTAACTGCCTTAAGCGTAAAGGAGCGAAGTTCATCTGGACCCCCTCTTGTTAGAAAGCTTTCGAGGCCCTGAAACAGCATTTGGTGTCACCCCCAATCTTGGGGCATCCTGACTTTAAACTTCCATTTATCATTTATACTGATGCTAGTCATATCTGCTTGGGAGCACTCTTAGCTCAACAGACTGGGCTCAGTGCAGAACAAGTCCTCGCCTTTGCCAGTCGTACCTTAAATCAGGCTGAAAGAAATTACTCAACAACGGAGCAGGGATGCCTCGCTGTCGTTTGGGCTCTGGAGAAATGGAGATATCATTTGGAAGGAAGACATTTCACGGTAGTCACCGATCACTCATCACTTGTCTGGGTCTTTAAAACCCAAAAGCCCAGCACCTGACTGATCCGGTGGGCACTCCGCTTCCAAGAGTTCTCTTTCACGGTAGAATACCGTAAAGGAAAATACAATACAGTGCCTGATGCACTGTCGAGAGCTCCTGTGGATAATCACCAATTCCAGTCTGCCATGTGTGCTGCTGCGTTACATTCCAAGAGAGACACTAAAAAAAAAATCTCCAAGTAACAGATGAGGAAATTTGGAAAGCCCAGCAGGAGGATTCTGACATTCAAAGCCTGTATAAGCGAATAATGGAAACAGGAGAAGTAACTGAAAATCCGACCACCAAGTTTACTGTTCTGGAAGACAAAGTCTATAGAATAGTGGAATTACCTCACAAAACCCTCTACCAAGTACACATGCCTTCCTCACTCCGCCCACAGCTTCTTCACCACTATCACAATGATTTTCTCTCTGGCCATCTAGGCAGATACAAGACATACAGGAGATTGCAATCCCTCATGTATTGGCTTAGAATGAGCCTAGATGGATCAAACCATGTTCAGCGTTGTCAAGTTTGCCAGCTTTTCAAGCCGGAGACACGTAAACCTCCTGGAAAACTCCAACAAACAGTTGTAGATGGACCCTGGGAGATGCTGGGAGTAGACCTCATGGGACCCTTCCCATGAAGCTAAGCTGGGAATCTCTACCTTATTGTCTTTGTTGACTATTTCACCAGATGGGTGGAAATGTTTCCCCTACAGAAGGCAACAGCAGAGACAGTATCTCAAATCTTAACCAGGGAGATCGTGACTCTGTGGGGGGTATCAACCTACATTCTCTCGGACCAAGGACCCCAGTTTGTCTCGTCAGTTTTTGAGGAACCCTGTAAGTGGTGGAACCTCCAACAGAAAAGGACCTCGCCAAACCATACTCAAACTAACTTGACAGAGAGGGTCAACCGCAACGTCAAACCCATTATCGCTTCATATGTGGAAGAGAAGCATAAGCACTGGGACAGATACCTACCTACCTACCTGCAGTAACCTCAGAGAGCAGCAGTAAATTAAATAATATATAAATTATCTAATAAAGACACAAACAGCAGCCGTTTCCACCAGACTGTTGATGAGTTTCAGTGTGTTGTGTAGTAACAGCTGAAGTGGGAGGAATCAAGCAAATCACTGACGACACAAAATATGAATTTGAGAGGGAAAGGAGTGATTGTTTGTTTTTTTTAAAACATTTATAATGGCGAGACAAAAACAATCAGCTTATTTTAGCTAAATAAAATGACACGACAGTGAAATGTAGACATTCAGAGTTTCACTAATGTTAGGCATCAGATTTGAGTTTTTCCACCAGCCTGTTTGAACACACAGTTACCTCAGTTATTTCTTTCTGGTACATTTATAACAGCAGCTGACCAACATGTTGTATTAACACATTTAGACACAGATCTACTGTCTCTGGCTTTGCTGTCCTCTCCGTCTTTCACCCGTGAACAGGGCTGTGGCGTCTTCCTCTTCCCGGTCTTGGCGTCTGTGGCCCTGGTACTAATGCTACTACTACGGAACGAGTCGGTTACTTTTTTTTTGGATTTCAACTAAGACCTTTGACTCTTTTGTCTCTGAACTTTTCAGCCTGACTGAACATTTTCAAACTCTGCTTTTCCATTTTCTGTTGTAGCTCGTTTTCCAGCTGTCAGTGACGCTGTGGGACGGACGGGACAGGGCTATTTTATGGAATAGACCAACAGGCCTGGGGAGAAGGGGAGGTCGGCCCGTGTCACTCAACCTTCTGCCAACGTTTTTATTATTGTTAAAAAGTATCTGAGTACTTCCATCCCTGGTTTAATACCTCTGGGACTTCTCTGTTCTGAACACACACAGCAGCAGACTACAGTAACGTATCAACAGTAAACCTGGACCAGATCTCTGAGGGCTCAAGGATAAATAGCAGCTCTGGGAAAATAGAGTCCAGGTTGGAAAAACACCGTGTCTCCGCTTACAGAACTGCCTCATGGTATTTATTCAATTTTCAGCCAGCTCTGAGTTGTGACACATTTTTAAAAATGTTTGTCTCCTCTGTCAGCTGCTGTCTGACCTTTAAAGTTAAAAACCTTTCATTTCAAATCAGATGCATCACTGACTGACTGGATGGCTGCTCATTAATACCTGGACCTGCGGTAGGACTACCACCTTAAATAATGTTTCTGAAAAGGTGAATAAGAATTTCAACTGTAATTGATCTTAATTTCCTCACAAGCACAATTCTGTTAATTGTTGTTGTTGTTGTTGTTGTTGTTGTTGTTGTTGTGTTTATGGACGATGGGAGAGATTTCTGTTTACAGCTTCAGAACATGAATTTAATTGATAAAACTGATACAAAATACTGTTAATTTAAACACAATATCCCTCAAATCCCCCACATGTGGATTCATCCGCTGCTGAAAATAGTCCCCAACAAATTCACTGTTTCTCCGGAGAGCCACAGACAGGAAGTCAGACCTGAGATGACGAAACAGCATGCAACGTCGTCACAGCTGAACTTTATGCTGTTTTTTCCTGCGTCCGTGTTTCAAATTTACTTTTTTACTTAAACACAAATGAAGCTTGAAAATTAAACAACAGCAGAACAAAACTTTCAATGGAAAAGAACAATACTTCGCTGTGATTGGACCACAGAGGCAGTTGTGTGAATATTAATGAGCACAGAGTAAGTGTGAGTGTTGCTAACCACTGTTAATAGCAAACACACAGAAGTTCATCACTAATTCATACCGCTGGACAATGTCAACCTCACCACACACACGCCCTGACACACACACTCACACACGCCCTGACACACACACACACACTCACATGCACACACGCCCTGACACACACACTCACACACGCCCTGACACACACACATACTCACATGCACACACACACACTCACACACACACACACGCACATACACACACACTCACATGAACACACACACACTAACATGTACACACACCCTGACACACACACACTCACATGAACACACACACACTGACACACACACACACACACTCACACACGCCCTGACACACACACTCACATGCACAGACTGACACACACTCACATGAACACACACACACTCACATGAACACACACACACTGACACACACACACTAACACACACACACACTAACATGTACACACACCCTGACACACACACACACTCACATGAACACACACACTGACACACACACGCACACACTGACACACACACACTCACATGAACACACACACTGACACACACGCACACACTGACACACACACGCACATGAACACACACACTGACACACACACGCACACTAACATGTACACACACCCTGACACACACACACACTCACATGAACACACACACTGACACACACACGCACACACTGACACACACACACACACTCACATGAACACACACTGACACACACACGCACACACTGACACACACACGCACACACACACACTCACATGAACACACACACTGACACACACACGCACACACTGACACACACACGCACACACACACACTCACATGAACACACACACTGACACACACACGCACACACTGACACACACACGCACACCACATCATCATCTCTTCCTGTTACTCTCTGAATGTTTCCTGCTCTCTTTTCTTTGCTCGCTCCTGAAGTCGTGCATCTTTCTTTCTGTGCCGATTCGTCTCTTCTTCTCCTTACTGATAGTTTTCTACTCCTCTTCTTCCTCCCTCTCTCCACCCCGCCGTCCCATCCTGCTCTTCCTCTCCTCTCCACTTATTCTATTCTCAGCAGTAAGCTCTGAATCTGGAGCAGTTTCCATCCTACTTACCACAGCTGATGATGATGAAGGTGATGATGATGATGAAGGTGAGGAAGAACAGGAGTGATGAGGAGGGCAGAGGCAGGTTTTTTCCAGGTGGAAACAGGACGGACGGATGCAGGAGGACGGAGGAATATAATAAATAGAAGAAGAAGAAGCAGGAGGAGTGTTTTACTCTCAGATCTGTCCCGCTCTGCTGCCGCGGCAACGACCACATCTCCTGTCATCCCTCCTCGCTCCCTCTCTCTCTCTCTCTCTCTCTCTCTCCTCTCTCTCTCTCTCTAGCTCCACCTACCATTCGCTTGCTCAACCCTCCCTTTTCTCTCTCTCTTTCTCTTCATTGTCTTTTCTCTTCTTCTTCCTGTCTCCCTCGCGTCCACTCGCTCTGCTCCACAGTGGACCAGCTGATGGGAGTTTCGTGTTGGGAAGAGAGACAGAGAGAGGAAGGAAGGAAAGAGAGAAAGAGAGCTGAAGTTTAGTTACCACACCCGGCTACATCACTTCCATTAATCGACAATATGTTGACAAATGACATATAATAATACAGTGACTAATAAATAAAATCAGCCCCCACCTCCCAGCTTTTACAATTTCCAACCGCAACTACACATTAAATTAGGACAGTCAACCTGTTCAGACGGGTCAGGACACAAAAGTCTATGGATGCATTAAAAGTGATCTGCTTGCACAGGAATAGGAATTAACGGAAGGAAAACGCTATTGATAAAGTATATGGTGAATTCCTAAGAATAATTATTATAAGAATTGACCAATAAAAAAATATTCCCGAACACAAAAATATAGTGAGAGACTGTGGAATTCAAAAGGATTACTAAATGCCTGTAAATAGAAAAATAGAGAATTTATTAAACATAGACCTGTGATGTGGATGTGGTCAATAAGATTAATAAATACAAAGTATTGGACCAGACTTAGCTAGAAAAGATTTATAGATCAAGGCGTCCACCCACTGTAATGAAATAGAAATGAAAATGGTATTTTAAAAAAAGGTAATTGAGGGGATCTTTAATTATCTTCAATGTAGTATTCCAAACCAGTCAATTTCCAGCAACTGGAGACAAACTTCACAAACTACAGGCCACAATTCTCAAAAATTACTAAAGAGAGGCAACAATTTGTGGAGATGGAAACTCTTCTTATTAATAGGACATTGTGTGCGGTGTCCCCCAGGGGTCAGTGTTGGGACCAAAGCTATTCATTCTCTACAGTGGCGTTAAATTATGGAACAAAGAAATTATACGTACAGAGATAAAGGTTAAAGGACAAACAACCACTCACACCTAAGGACAATTTAGAGACACCAATCAACCTAGCCTGCATGTTTTTGGACGGTGGGAGGAAGCTGGAGCACCTGGAGAGAACCCACGCAGACACGGGGAGAACACGCAAACTCCACACAGAAAGGCCAGGGCAACCGGGGTTTGAACCCGCGCTTCTTGTTGTAAGGCGACAGTGCTAACCACTGCACCACCGTGCCGCCCATATCCCATATCAGCCCAGGTTTAATTCCTGTTAGCCTTCTCTAGCATCAGGACCAGCCCACAAATTATTATGAGCCTCAGTGAGCAGTTAGCATAACTTGATAAGCCATTAGCATTCACGTGTGACATTATTTTTGCAGCCAAACCTCTTTAACATTGCATCTGTGTAAACACGTCAGTTTGTGAACGTTTACATTCAATATTCTGTTTTATTTGTACAAACAAGTCGCTGACAACAGCTGCTCTATCGGTCTCTTCTAACATCTTAAAGGTCACAAACTGAGCATGCTCAGACATTATCGCAGTCAGCTGCTGTGCAGAGAAATAAAGATACCTTCCACGTTAGTGTAACAACAGCATGTAGAAAATACACAGACTGTCTCAAAGTGCGTGTGCAGCATGTGCGCGCACACACACACACGTTCAGTTCCAGTTAAATATTAATAATGAATGTAAAGAAACATTGGTCAGCTGTTCGACTGTCACTCAAGTGGTCATCGCACACACACACGCACACATAGCTGTTTGATGTTGGTGTGTTGCAAACATTTTCTTGTTCTGCCTGAGTGACACCTGAAAGCTTCAATAGGAAACATCGTCCTGTTTATCTCTCCGGATCGTTGTGCTTTTGTATTTGCAGCTGTTCAGGTTTCTCTCGACTGAACACCAGCATCAGCAGATCGACAGGGCCTGAACCTTTCCTCTGAGAAGGTGCTGCAACACAAAGCAAACTTCTGAGTTACTGTGGCTTCCTACAAGACTTCATCTGGAAGACTGCAGCAGAGGCAGCTTCAGGAAAATACTCCACTACAAGTCAGAGTATTATCAGCTAAGTGTAGTAAAGGCTTGAAAGTAAAAGTACTCATGTTGCAGTAAAATGTTCCTGTTATCTGCATTTTATATCCTGTTAGGTAGTTTAATCTGCAGCAATGCATCATGGTCTATAAGATCATCATGTCTGTAGTGTGGCTGTCCTGCGAGAACCTCGCATCTCTAAACAGTCAGAAAAACAGCCTGTTTTCAGCTTTGTGACGATGCATGTTCCAGCTGATCCGAGGGGGCTCAAAGAGTTTATTTAGCAGCAGGAGGAGGAGGAGGAGGAGGAGGAGGAGCAGCTCTTCATCCTGCAGGTTATCACCAACACCTGGAGATACGGGGTTTTCACTGGACAGGAAGGGGAAGGAAATCTGTAATTTGAAAAGTAACTAAAGCTGTCAGACACAGGTAGTGCAGTAAAAAGTACAGTATTGCCTCTGGGGTGGAGCAGAAGTACAAATCTTACTTCGAAGTGCATTAATGTCTGAAGTTTTTTCTTCCACCACTGAGCAGAGGTTAAGATCTCCTGACTTTTAGTCTCTATGTGGGTCAAACTCTGAAAACACTGGATCCTACATTTACCATAATGCCCCTGAAACACACATCACTGAGTCACAAAATTTATTAAAACAATGTTTGAGCCCATGAAAAGAACGTCGCTGTTTTAAGTGTTGTTCTTTTACATCAGAATTAACCTGAAATACAGCAGCTTCATGAGGAAATAAGATCACTCATAAAATTTCTCGCTGTCTCTCCCCCTCCTTTTACTTCCTCCTCGTCGTCTTTTCTCCCCACTTGTGGTGAAGACTTGCAGGATCTCCTTTGACAGATTGATAGTTAAAATAGTGACAGAGAGACACCTTTCCAACGCATTCACTCCATCATGTTAAGCCAAGGGTCCACTCGGAGAAACAGGAATTGGACCCAGAATGCCGGTGTAACACCTAAATCTCTGACCTATCAGATTCTGTGACTACACCCAAACGACGATGTTTTCCTAACCATAACCAAGTACTTCTGGTGCCTAAACCCGGTCACACCGGTACCGAGGCAGAACTGGTACGGTCCGTAATGTTGATTAAATCCACAGAAAAAGACTTACATGAAGTCGAGGAGGTGAAAGAACCCGCAGTCCAAAAGGAAAACATGCATCCAAGCAATGAAAGTGCACAAAATCCATGGAAAGGCAAAAAGCAGACGGAGACACGTGACAGAGGACAGAGACACAGGTAGATCTCATCAGGGAAACAAGACAGGTGCAACAATCAAACCAAAATGCAAAGACAGGAAGTAAAAGTCAAGATGAGACAGAAGAAACAGAAGGTTTCAAAATAAAACAGGAAGTAAATCGTACAAAAACACCTCAAGGATGAATTTAATAAAATAAAAAACACAAAACATGAAGAACACAGAGGCAGGAAGTGATGAATTAACTAACAGGAACATCAGATCAGTAACAGGTAGGTCCCACCACCTGTTTGTGTAGTGAGCTCTGCAGGTGTTGGCAGGTGTGCAGAAGAACTGAATAAACTGGTTCTGTGATTCTATAGTTTCCCTCTCACCAGCGGTGGAACGTCACTAAGAGCGGGAGTACTGTACAGTGTTGATGTACTTGTACTTTAATTATTTAGCTTAGTACTGTACTTTTTACTTTTTATTTTTTTGTCTGACTTTTCTGTAAAAAACCTGAAATGAAATGATCAGAACAGAACGGGTCTCAGTGGCATTTCAGGAGGGAAGAAATGAAGTAAAAAGAATAAGAAGAGGAGGAGGAGGAGGAAGGCTTTTTGTGGACTTATTGATCGTAAGAGGAGACACACTCTGACTCTGTGTGTGTGTGACCTCATTAATAATTCAGAGCAGCCCAGTGCATTCTGGGAGGAGAGAGGGCAGAAACCAAAAATGGGAGGAATCCAGAAACTGAAAGACCAACACACACGAGGATGACGACGATGATGACAATGATGATGATGATGATGATGATGACGTTCCCTCGTGTGCATGTGTGTGTGTGACGTTTCCAGATAAGCTCTCCGAGAGGACACCAGAGTCTTCAGGACCTTTAGCCTGCAGGGTGGAAGAAGTACTCTTTGTCTTTGGTGAAAGTAGTAATACCCAGTAATACACAGAAAACCTTAAGTTGTTTTCTTAAGTATGACACTTAAGTCTTGAAAGAAAGCAGAGATTAAAAAGTAAATCTGATCTGCAAATAACAGCAAACAGAAAAGAACAAATGTGGGAGGAAATCGCTTCGAAAATTAGGAGATCCAAAAGACAACTTGTGCTGTGGCCAAAAAAAGAGATCACTGATCGTAAAAGGGAACCAGATAAAACTGGTGAGAATAACTTTATTTAGGCTACAGATCTAAACTAGACTGTGTTGCTAGCTAGCGATAAGTTTGACAGCCTTCTCGCTCTGCTCATCATTATATATCCACTGGATTCTAAAATTTCTTCTTTTATGGCAGAAAATTTGCTTAATCCCTCCCCAGCAAGATACAATTTCAGCGACAGCCATAAACTCCACCGTGTTGCGGTTAAGATAAAGCCAGAGATCCCTTAAATTCTTTCCCTTAGTTTGGTTGCTGAGGTCTTTTGTGCAACAGCTTCCTTAAGTAGAAGACCAAGATACTTAAGTGAACATTTTAAGGAATCCTTAAGGAGAAGATATGAGGGTGTTTTGTGCAATGTATTTTAAGGAAACCTTAACTCAGACTTGTGCAGCCGGCCCCTGGCCCTCAGCTGCTCCTGATGCTCCATGAACCACATCTCGTCCTGTGTTTTTTAAAATATTCACACGAATTCCGCTGATGGAAATGCACTGGCTCACATTTTTCATACCTCAATTCAATTCAATTTTATTTATGTTGCGCCAAATCACAACAACAGTTATCTCACAGCGCTTTTCATAAAAAAGCAGGTCTAGACCGTACTCTATGATGTTATTTACAGAAGCCCAACAGTTCCCACCAAGAGCAGCACTAGGAGACAGA